TGAGAATAAATCATTTGTGTGGGTTCGAAATGGAATTTGAAATAAAATTTTTATTGATTTATTTTTTAGCGTTTAAATTTTTTTGAAATTATTAGTGTCACTATTACCCCATATGATTAACAGATACCTAAGATTCGCCAATATATATTACTCTTTTGTTCTGTTTCTATTTCACAATGCCAAGTGTTCATATTTCATATGTATTATAGTAGAAAAAAATCATTCTGAGATTAGAAATAAGATTAGATTTGTATTTTCCTCTGATACAACGAAAATTTTCTGTAACTTATACTTGAATTTCAAATAAATTAATCATCAATCATATATTTAATGAAAATATCACATCTATCTGGGAAGTTTCCATGAATATGTGAAAATTCATATATTTTTGTTTTTTATCATCACCCAATTAATTAAAATGTGTGCGCCACTGTCGGTGGAGGGGAAGTCACAGTCTATCACAGGTCTCCTCTTTCTCCATAACCCACGCACTCTCGAACCAAGCGACACACAATCTGTGTCGAAGATATTGGTTTGTTGAGTCCATTTATTTTTTTACATCCATTAAAAACCGTATGAAAATATGATCGGTAGTTTATGAATAATGGATTTATAAAAAAAAATTATTTAGGAACCTCAAAATAATTGAACTTACTTCCTTTGTAGCCATGGTTCAATGGATTTGTATTGTTTGTAGAAGTTGTTCATATCCGGAACCAAATCCTTCACAACATACATATGAGGTAGCGGATATATTTTTGTAGTTTTACCAGGTGTAGTATCAATTTTACTGAAAAAAATAAGGTAAACTTGAATTATAACTCTCAGATAAAATCAGCAAAATGTTTTGTAAAATTATAAAATGAAACCAACACTCAATCTGCAAGTATCATAAAAAAACATCGTTTAAGAAATTCAAATGTGGTAAATTATGAATACTCTGACCCGTTACTTAAATCAGAACAAATTAAATCAATTACAAAAATTACAGAATGACACCTATACAAGAAATGCTCTGCAGTTTACGCTGGCTTAATGTCTCTCAATGACTGTACTATCATATTTAAAATAATGAATGAATAGCAACAAACATTCTTGTTAAATTTTTAATAACAAATAGTGAAGTACACCATCATAATACCAGATCAAACACCAATTTTCACATCCCAAGGACAAATTCACGAAGCAATATGAACTCATTATTGTTCAACGGTCTGGGTAGTTTTAATAAACTGCCAAATAATATACAAGATTCTTCTTCTATCCGCCTATTCAAGAGGGACTTGATAACATTTATAAAGACAAATTAATTAAAGCTAATTTATATTCAAAGTATATTAATAACTCAGATGTTTCGATCACCAAGTGATCATCTTCAAGAGGAAGATTAATCTTTAGTGTAACTTTTTAATCAAATATTTCATATTGCTGTTCTTTTTTGTTGTTTTGTAGTTACGTACGAAGTCTTTTTTATATTTACATACATGTTCTCAGTCATTATATCCTGACATGTTCTATACCCTAATGAGACCTTTGAATAAACTGATTTGATTTGAAAATTACTTTTTCATTACTGTTTCTCTGTACCACTATATTTTCGGAGGTTGAAATATTGTATGGTTCGTTTTATGTTGTAGATGTGTAATAAGAAAAGATCTTTATATATTTCAGCTGAGGAGGCCCTATTGGGGATCAAAGGGGCGCGTTCACATATGAAAATTATCTTTTCATCAGTGTTTCTCCGTATCGCTATATTTTCAACCTTTAAAAAATGAGTGTTCTTCATTACAATCAGTAGAAATCTAACTTCTCGAACTTTATTTATTATTCATAAATCTGTAATGCAACTCCACTCTGACCATTTATATAGAGTACTTTCATATCTTGACAGCTCTATAGAAATTACAAAACAGTGGAAACCGTGGAAATGCAATGGATACACTCCTATAAATCCAAAAAAAGCACTTTTACCAATCACAGAAATGCAAGACTTTTCTCAACTCGCCTTCATGAAAAAGTGCTAATTTCAAAATTTCACTGTACCTTATACATGCTAAAGTATTGACACCTCCAATATTCATAGCACAAGAGCCACAAATTCCTTCACGACACGATCTCCTGAATGTTAATGTAGGATCAATTTCATTCTTTATTTTGATAAGTGCATCCAAAACCATTGGACCACAGGAGTTCAAATCCACAGAATATTCTTGCAGGTATGGTTTTTTTTCAGGCTCATCAGGATTCCAACGATAAATTCCAAAAGTCTTTTGACGTGTTGTTGATTTATCTGCCTTTTTGAGACTTGCAGCTTCCGCATTCGCAATTGCCCCTAAATGGATTTTACGAACCTGAAATATTTTAAACATTGAAATCATTATATAATATGTTACTATTATGTTACCTGGACATAGGCTCCTCTGGTTATTTTAAATAATTGCATTTCTCTAGAAATATTCCAGTTTTCCTAGAAATGGCTAAATAAAAAAATATGTAATTTTGGAACTTCTATGGAGATTAGTAAACTTTCTCTTTCATACCACAATATTTGGCATTTGCTGCTTTGCTACAAAACCAATTTGAAAAGTATAATTTCGATGTTAAAGTTTTACATTACTGAAAACAGTGCATATCAATGTTTTTCTATCCTTTAATAATGTATGAAGATATAAAGGACAGAAATACAGTGCTCATGCTCTGGATTTACTAATGGAAAAAAATAAATGGGATTCAGGTCACCTTGGAAAGATAGTGTCATTTGTCACAATGACACTGAGTTATGACATATGAAGTATGGTATAAAATTGAATTATTGAGATATGTTCCAAGTCATTACTTCTTAACCGCTACTAACCAAAATTTTTGACAGCGGTTACTAGAAAAATATATTATTGTTAGTTACTTTTGAAACAGGACAGTTGTGTCAATTGTGAAATTAATGAGTCAATTGAAAAATTATTTTCAATGTGGAACTGGAAGCTTTATACCGAGACAATACGTATTTTTTTTACTGTTTTTTTGGGTTTATAACTTTCCAAAATCTGAAATAATAAAAGTTAAAATAATAGAGAATCTGCTGAAGTGTAATAAAGGGCAAATTGAAATGTTCCCCCAAAAAGTTACTGCGTAATAAAAATTACTGAAAAGTCCACCTAGTCAGTAACTTGTATTATATTGAAGTTGAGAATATTAAAATTGATAATAGCGTCGGACGACGTGCAGGTTATTAATATGGATGGTGTGTAGCCTGTCGCTTCATGTTTAGAACTCCTGTATGCCACCAAAAGTTCATATCAGTCTCTTTGGTTTTCGTAGACAAACATCGAAAGACACCTGGTTACGGTACAATTATGCCCTTCGACCATTCCATCGGACTGTATGCGAAAAGCATTTGTTCTTGTCTTCTTTATTCACATCAAGGTTATTTTCTTGCATTCATCCGAATGTAATTCCTGGAGTACGTGCAAAACAATTACGTTCTGCAACAGTGTTTCTGTCACCGTTTTAGCATTGGTAAGGTAATCCAAGGAAGAGGAAGGTGGAGGAACTTATCTTGCTATCAGAGCTGTCTATAAGTTCTTCTTCTGTTAACTAGGTATTATTGAGTTGAAGCCCATCGACAACTAAGCTTTTACTGTTGCATCCGAATGTAGCAATCAATTACCTCGGGGCTTAAGATGCAGTAGCCAATCATGTAGCCAAACTTTACTGATGTACATTGCCTCTTCTTTTCTATTCAAATTATCCCTGTTTTTGGATTTCTATTGCAAAGCCACGTCCGCTAATAATAATATAACACCAGAATCAAATACTAGCAACGTAGTAAATGTATTCGGAACAACGGGAGCACCGACTCGGGCACTGCCAACGTTACCGTAACATAGTGGGGGGACACGACAGACGGACTTCAGGCTTAAATTTTGATCATGAGACATAACTGACCACCGAACGGAATTCGTATAGGCCCTCAAAAACAATATGAACTCATTAATGTTATTCACGTACTGCTTGTCTGGCATAAGTGAAAGTGAGGAAAATTTTTTAAAAGGTAGTGAAAAAAGTCTATTATGCCTTTTCTGCTTTTTCAGTGAGATCGATAACACTAGACAGTGAATCATATCTAAAGAAATGAACTTTAAATGTTCAAGCCTGTCTCGGCTATACCTGCACAGTAGGTTGAATGGACTGACGCCTATCAGAAAACAATTATAATCCGCTGGCTAATACCACGAATTGTGTTGGAATATATCCGACAGATGTCAGTGCAGGAATCTTCACAGAAAATTTCCTGCATATGCAATTGGCAATACAACTGAAAGAGTCGACCTCCAATTTTGGAACGAGCACACTTGTAGACCAGTTTCGGGCCCATTAGCCACTCGTCAGTGCAAGATAGTGACCATCATCGATCTAAAGTCATTCGGGTTGAAGCCTAGATCCCCTACCCTTCAAACTGTCTTTTATCTGAAACACAAATGGGTCATAACTGATTTTGTTGTGGCAGCATGAATGTCCTCAGACATCAGTACCGCCCTTCGCGGTGTACCCATTAAGAGAGTCATAGTTACGACCGCACCGGGGGGCCGGTTAGGCCCCCCAGACGCACCCTGGCGTTGGATGCAATCGGGTGTGGAGGGGTGGATTTTCGGGAAATCCTTGCGGGTACCGCCCCTCACCCCACACCAACAGGAACCTCCAAGACTAGACTCGGATACTAGAGCCCGGAAGGACCGCGACCCCCGAAACCTCGAACGCTCGGATCCGTACAGAAGCAGGCGAGGATCACGGAACAGCATAAGCCGTCCAGTGCCTCAGAATGAGGCTGCAATGCACCCATGAATGGATTACCATTGAAGATGTCGCGCCCATTACCCGTGTAGGTGCGGGATAGGGCGGTTCATCAACAACTTTTGGGTGTACGCCGTGTGACCTGCACCACATACACTCACGTTACCCCGAGGGGCACTCATGTTAGGAAAGTTACCTTTCCAGCGTTGGATGAGTAACCGCCGAGGGCTCTTGCGAGACACCTCTCCCACACATCCAGCTTGAAACCGGCCAACGCCTGTTACCCGCAGGTGCGGGATTGGGTGATTGACCGATAACTTTACTTGGTGAGTGCCGTGTGGTCTGCACCGGGGGACTGTCAAACACCCATAAGAGAGAGACAGTGATCCCCCTACCCATGGTTATCGCCTGAATCTTTTCCGGGTTCACTCGGATCTTCTATTCGAAGTACCAGCCGCTAGAGGTCGTCCAATGCACGTTGCATGTAGACGATCCCGAGCTCCCGACCCATGGAAGATGAGAGGAGAGCCGTGTCGTCGGCGTAGAAGGATATCTTCACATGCTCGTACCTTGAAAGGTCGCTGGGTAAAGAAAATACAGCGTGGGAGAGAACACGGCCCCCTGTGGCACTCCAGCGAGGATCTCTCTGTTGTCAGAGAGTCCTCTACTCTAACCTGAAATGTTCTGTCTTTCAGGAAAGACTCAATCCACCGGATCAGGCCCCGAGGCAGGTCGAATGCAATTAGTTTGTGCAGTAGGACTACGTGCCAAACAGGGTCGAAGGCCTTCGAGATGTCTAATAAGACGACATGAACTTTTCTATTGCGATTTAGCTCCGCGATGGTATTTTCGACCAGTCTCAGAGCCTGTAACTTAGTGGAATGTTCTCTCCTGAAGCCGAATTGTTCGTCAGACAGAACATTTCGGTCCTCAACTTCTTCGTTGAGCCTCTGAAGAACGACTCTTCCAGCCAGCTTAGTCGCCGACGAGAGCAGATTAATGGGGCGATAGTTCTGCGGGAACAGCCGGTTCTGTCCCTGTTTTGGGGTCATGACAACGATCGCATGGCTCCAACTTTTGGGGAAGTATCTGAGAGTCAGAGAGCTGTTTATAATGGATAAACGTTTCTCGACGCGGTAGTCCGGGAGCCTCTTCAACAATTTGTTGTTTATTGAGTCGACCCCCGGAGCTTTCTTGGCCTTTGAGGCCCTGATTAGCCTGAAGAACTGAAGAGTTCTTCCACAGAAGCTGGACGGATGTTATCGTCGTCATCCTCCCTGAGGATAAGGTGAACCCGATCTTCCAGCAGAATATCGCGATCGATGTCGTACACATTAAGCTTAAACTGACGTTCCATCGTGTCGGCAAATGTCAACGCTTTGTCGGCGGGGGAGTAGCATACTCCGCGCTCTCCGTGAATGGGTGAGGGAGCAGTCTTCTTCACTTTGAGTCTACGGGTGACTCGCCAAAGCTCGTCGCCCCCAGACTCAAGGGATTCCAACAGCTCTTCCCACCTTTCGTTTCGGTGAACAATGATGGTCTGTTCAACTTGATTGGCCGTCCTGCTTGCCCCAATTTAGTCTTCTGGGAAGAGGTTCGCTGATAGAGCTTTCTCAGGCGATTTCTCTCTCGTATCAAGGTTTTGATACGAAGGAGAAACTCGTTGTAGCTCTTCAACAGACACTCCTCCCTGGAGGTGGCCTCCGGAGGGGCGCACATCTCTCCGAACTGGGCTGTGAACACATCCCAATCCGTCGAAGATCTCATACGATAATCAGGGGAAGGAAGATCATCGCCCAATACCAGAATTACTGGATTATGATCGGAATCCAATTTCGACAGAACGTAAATTTCGCTAGTCAGAGAGACGTTTCTGAGAAGCGCGATGTCTAGTACGTCAGGCCCAGTCTGCCCGCGATAGAATGTAGGTTCATCCGGTCCCAGCACGCTCATAGAGCACTTGGCCGTTTCGATTGGTGGCTCTGCTCCAGTCCGTGCTTGGCATTAAAGTCACCAGCATCAATTGTCGGAATGTCGCTTCCTATCAGTTCATCCAGTGATTCTGGGAGTATAAGATTGTTCGGAGGGTTGTAAACAGAGATTAGTCTGTGACAACCCCTGCTCAGTTGTGATATTCCATAAAATTCTTTCAGAGTATTTCATTCCTCGTCGTAAGTTTGAGCGAACATCAAAAATGTCACTCCATCTAGTGGAAAAGGTACTATTGGATCACATAACACCAGCTGGCCAGCAACTTTCTTAATTAATTGAGTAGGTTGTCGAATCACCTGAGATGCTTTCTGTAGCGGGTCTATATATCGAATCCCTGTTCTGCTGCTGTTTCAGCGACCGACCAAATATATTGATACGAGGAGCGCTCCATATATTTAATCAGAATAGAAAACACAGCTAAATTTCGCGATTAATACAAATTTTGCAAATTGAGTGAAAATCATCAGCAGACAAATACACAGAGGAAAAAATGAAAATAAAAAAAAGAAAACAACGGGCAGTAAACAAATCTAAAGAAATTAACTTTAAACGTTCAAGCCCGTCTTCAAGCATAGCCCACTGACTAATAAGAAAGTTTTTCTTCCTTATTAAGAGGAATCGGGCAAATTTCGGATATGCCGTTTGTTAGTACTTAGTCCACTAGATGGAGTGACTTTTTTTTTGATGTTCGCTCCAACCTAAGACGAGGAATGAAATACTCGATTTTCAATTATAAAATATCATGTCTTTCATTAAAAGATGAATAGTATCTTCATCCAAACACCCCAGCCAGGTAGGGGTCCACGTGAAGGGTGGCACTGATGTCTGAGGACATTCATGCCGTCATACCATAAATCAATCTTGACCTGTTTGTCTCTCTGATGAAAAAATTATTTTCTCGCGATGAATGAATGAATTTTATTCATTTTTATATAAAACGGTATATGCAATGTCACAGAAGTAATTAGGATCATATCAAAAGATACAACCATCATTGATTGATGTATCGAATGAAATGAATGAATAGTATACTGGAAACGTACTGCAGCTGAATGGTTCAGAAACTAGCTTAAATTCATTCCAAACCTTAAATCAGAATCTCTTTGTAGTGAAACGAATGGACAGTCAGCATCATAATTGAAAAAAAATAATAATTTCTTGGGTTTGTCAACGAACAAAATATATCAAATTGGGAAACACACATCGCAATTAAATTCCAAGTTGAACTCCATCTGTGAGTCGATAAGATATCTCAGTGGTTTCGTTTACGGTGTAAACAATCGAACTCTGCACCCTGTATGTTGTAATCCGACAATAGAAGGCACTCTTTACAATTAAAACACCATCACTTAATTCAATATATGAATTATTCTTATGCTGTAGCCTCCTCTTGTGAAAATTCACTTGCGTTACATGAATCCTCACATTACAAAAATTACATGTGAACGTAGGTGTTGCAACAGCAGCACCATCATCTAATCTCACTCGCTTCACTGATGGCAATTCTGTAGTTGATGCTGACAAAGATTATTTATAACAACGGAAAATTCACCACAATCACGTAAATACATGTTTTCAAATACGTTTTCACCAACGTGCTTGATGTAAACTGATATAACGAACGATCGCTAGTTTTTGGGAACGGTTCAAAATGATGTCACAGACAACCCTACCACTTCCATCTCGATACGCTCACAGAAGGAGATATGAGCAGGCAGAGTTCGATAGAGTTTCGTGGAATGCGGACGTGTTTACTCTCTGCCCCCAGAATCACTAAATAAGTTTTGACAATGAAATAGTTTTTCACGCTTTCACAGATTCAGATCAGATACGAACCACTGTTCCAGCTACATAGTCGTGCTGCCATTAGTTTGATTTATATTAATCGAGAAATGAGACCAGGCCCAAAGACAACTTCTTCAGTTTGGGAACGTTCCAATAAAATCGGTGGAAAAAATTTCAAATGTAATATTTGCAATAAGATTTTAAAATGCTTTAGCAATACTCCCAATTTAGGTCCCATTTGAAACGTATTCATCTTACGCTCACGCGTCCCATTTGATGAGCTAATAGGAAGGTCATTAGTTGGTGGATCTTCGTGCTATGCAGACGTGTGTGTTTACTCTGTACAAACTTGTACGTAGTTATACATGAAGGACAATGTCAAACCCTGACTTCATCTTGTATTCTACCCCCCAATATCAAGGTAAAATTCCATGTTCAAAGTCAAACCCCACGCCCAAGGTCATATTTCATGTACATAGCTCATTGACTCGAATCTCACGATCAATTCTCTGATTAAAGTCATATGGCCTTGCATATAGCTCAAGGTCGTGTGACGTCACTCAACGTCGTGTGACGTCAGCCAAGGTCAATGCTATTATTAACGTCACAGTGGTGGGGTGGGGCCGAGAACCGACTGTAATCTTCTACTAAAAACAAGAAAAGGACTCGGTTATCGGAGATAATTTTTGATTCAAAAAACTTCTCTTCTTTCAACTTCTCTATTGTAAAATGTATTCAATACGAATATGGAAAAGTCATTATTTTGCCCATATAGCTCTGAGTTGATTCTACCAACACCAAATTCCAATTATATCAATCTTACAAAATATATCCATACTTACATATATGGGAGTATGTATACACATATACATGGGAGTAAGTATATGTGTATACATACTCCCATGTATATGTGTATACATACACTTTTATTCACTGCTTCAGTCTTTTACAATAATAAAGGAAAGATTGTCAATTGTAGCACAAAATATTTACATTAAAATTAACTAAATTTTATTGTTTCATAAGTATAGAAAAAAATATAAAAAGCCAAGCAGAATCAGAAAAAAAAACTTGAGGTATTGATACAGTGAAGAAGTGTAAATAATGAATGCATCACAAAATTGATGGNCAGTTAATACCATATAAAACCTCCTACATAAAAATAACGATTTGACAAAAAATTATATCACGCCGCCCATGCCATACAAAGAAACTGCCGGCATTCGGTAACCACTTAGTTTTCATGCCACTTGAATTATTTAATCTTCCTAGTGAAGATGACCAATTGGTGATCGAAACACGTGTCGAGGTGTTGGAAATAACGGTTTAGTGTTGGGATAAAACTCCAGTAATATTCGTTCAAATTGACTTCGTATATACTATAAACCGTAATAATGTTGAATTCAAATATTATGTAAAAACTAGGAACTAACAAGTCAAAACATTTTAAGCATAACATTATAACAAAATATTTGGTACTCAAATGTGTCATTAACAATAAACGAAAAAACAACTCACAAAGATTCATGACGATGAATTGTAAACAAAAACTATCCAACTTCATTGGAAGAACGATGATTGGATGATTGCGTTTCTTGATTTTCTACTTCTAGTCAATGTACTGCTCATGACGAAAATAACGAGGGTATATGACCAGAAAAAACATTTCATAAATTGAATCTAATGGCGAATTCTTTTTCTGTGTCATACACCAGACACTTCTGCTAGTTACCTACATGGGTTATTATCCAAGGCCACAGAAATGATGTCAGGATACCAGAAAATATACCTGTCACCAGAGCAGCGGCAGCAAACATACCAGCTGTTGTAGCGTACCTTTCCTCCACCATCCTACAACAAGACATAATGACACTATCTTCAGATGTTCCAAGACATAAATAACATTATACCCATGTGCAATTTTGAATAGATAGATAGATGATAGATATTCATTTATTTCTATAGTAATATAAACCTTTATAAAAGGTAAAAGAAATACTTTGTCCGAGAAATACGTCAGTAAACAAAATTAGAAAGGGTAAATACAAAAGATACAAAAAGATACAAAATTTGAATAAAACACTTCACATGCACATATAAGTGTAGCGTTAATAAACAAATATTTGAAATAGACTGTAAAAATATTCATCTATTGTATAGTATGTCGACTGGATA